CCTATATTACATATCATAATTAGAGTATGATGGGCCCCAAAACCCTATTCTAATTATTAAGGCCCCTACATTATAGAACCCTTATAGTAGCCCTTTAAGGAACCCTTTTAAAGGAACTCCCAAAACCCTATTCTAATTATTAAGGCCCCTATTTTATCCCGGTGAATACTGTGGGGCGCGGGCTGCCATGAACGCCCAGCATGTCGTCACACACCAAGACCTGGCTTGACACCCTAAGGCTCCATGCACCATTTAGGGTTTAGGGTTTAGGGTTTAGGGTTTAGGGTTCAGGGTTCAGGGTTTGGGGTTTAGGGTTTAGGGTTTTCGTACCCATATAGTATATGCATAGGCCTTTATGTACCTACGTAAGGACACCTTTACGGCCTAAGTATATACTATATGGGTACATGGAGCCTCTGGGACAAAGCATGTGAATTGGCCTTGGGGGCATAGGGCTCCCTGAGTTTAGGGTTGGTTTAGGCTTTAGGGATCTAAGAGGTTTGATTGGGTTTTTCTTTTTGTTTAGGGTTTAGGGTTCTAGGTTCGAGGTTTAGTTGGATCCAGGGCTTTGAGAGCTGAGGATGCAGGATCGCAACCACCATTCGCGACGATTGGGAGCACTAGGACGACAACAAGGCTTGAAGCCAAAAAAAGGACTCAGGATATCAGATCTTCGGGGTGTGGGTTCAGTTTTTTTTGGGGTACCCATCTGTAGCCCAAAAGCCCACCTGTTTAGCGTTCTATATATATATATATACATATATATATATACATATATATATATATATTAGATAGATATACATACGTACATACATACATACATACATACATACATGCATGCATACATACAGACATACATACATACATACATACATACATATACATATACATATAAATCTATCTATCTATCTATCTATCTATCTATCTATCTATCTATCTATCTATATATATATTCTTACAACGGTGTTTGGGGGGGGGGCTGCAAGTAGAACCTATATGTGTTACTAACCAAGTAGCATGCAGGTGACGCCTAGCCAAGTAGCCAAGTTAGGGCCAGCTATTTTGGATTATACGCACAATCATGATTGGCGTATAATATAGGGGCCTTAATACTTAGAATAGGGTTTTGGGCTTCCTTATTAATACTATAATATACTATACCCCCAAACCCTATTCTAATTATTAAGGCCCCAAAATTTATCACCCCACATCTCCACTGACATCGCCTCTTGGGTAATTTGTATCCCTTGGTCCCCTTCGAAGGGGTGCAGAACCTTTGTAGTACAGGGGCCTCGCTGAGGGTGTTGGGGAAGATGACTATACTATCATTATACTTATAGCATAGGAGTGGTTTTCTAAATTAGGGTCCCTTTTTAGATCCCCAATACTACGGCACCCTTATTGAAAGGACCCTAAAATCGACCCTATTTTAGAGAACTGCCCATAGGCTTCATAAGGGCTGTAAGAGAATACCGTTGTGGTTTGGGGCTTGAGGTTTCTAAAAGCGGGGACCCCCTAAAGATCCACCATAGGAGTGCGAGTTACACTTGCAGCCGTTAGCCATGACACGAACGGTCCATGTACCGATGTAGTATACACATTCTCTAGGGGTGCAAGTGAGTATTATTGTAGGTCTTGAAAGCTTTTTTGAGTACCAGAACGCTATGAACAAGTACTACTTGGAGCCTGAAGGATTGGCTGTAAGCTTGGCGATCAAAGCATGTTGTGCCACCTAGAGATTAGGCCTATCGAGTATGCAGGGATGGGCTTACCTAGACTCTGCAACGTGCCGCACTACATAGTAGACACTAAACCCAAACCCCAAAACTCACCCTAAACTAGCGTCGACCTTTATTTATCGATGTACTGGCGCCATGGACTGTCTGAACTCTCGCCCCCTCTCTTGTCACCATGAGCTATGCTAGAATCTTTTGTTTGACACTGCCCGAGAAACCTCTTCAAGGCAAAATTTAAAAGTATAATGTATTATAGACGACCCCATGCATAACTCTTGCGTTTCAGCGCCAGTTATATAGTACTGCTTGTACCTGTTTACGACATTGCCGGTTTCATTCATTGTCATCATCAGTTGCAACGACTCTAGCGGGCCAAGCCCTGTTGCCTTACACTTTGCCATGTAAGACGGCCCAAAATAAGAAAAGGCTGCAAACCGCCCAGAGAGCCCAATACTCCTTAATTAAGGTATATACCTTAAATCATAATAATCAGCCCCTTATAATTTAAGGTATATTCCTTAGTTAAGGGGTGTTGGGCTCTCTAGGTAAGATGGGTTGCATAAATTTCCTTGGTGCAGGCAGAGTTCACGAGCTGTAGTTCAAAACACGGCTTCTCAATTTGGAGTGTGCAAGCATCTACTTCTTGCCAGCTCTGAAGACCTCAAACCCTAAACCGAAAGCAAGTTCGAACACTCTGCCCCCCCAAACCCTGAGCGATACAAACCGGAAATCGGGAACCCTAAACCCTAAACCCCGCAGGCATGAAGCCAGGAGCCCGCGACTCCGTCAACCCTGCAAGACCCAGAGCAGAAAACGGTCGTCGTTTACATCCAGCGGCCTGAATCATCAACCATATCGTTCATGTAGGTGCCTTAATAGTTAGAATAGGGTTTCGGGCTACATCATGTATAACGGGACTATAACGCACTCGCGCTTCTGCTTATTCCGACGCCGTTTCTCAGTCGCAGACACAGAATCCGAAACCCTGAACTCCCTAAACTTCCCAAGCCCCAACCCACATGAGGTCCCTAATATAGGGGCCTTCATACGTAATTAGAATAGGGTTTTGTGGTAATTATATTATACGATACTTATCATAAGGAGCCCCCAAGAAAGTGTTGGTAATTCTTATAAGACCTCTATATTACTTTGAAGCAACGCTGTAAGGGACAGAGATGCCGCCTGTCCCGCGACGCGGCCGCCCGCGCCGATGCCGATGACTGGTGTCTCGGGAAGCGACGACTGGACCTGGTTGGCGTTCTCAATTTCTGAATAGTACGGAGTGTGAAGGGTTCAGGGTTTAGGGTTTAGGGTTGGCGTTCTCCTTTTTGAATATTACGGAGTATGATGGGTTTAGGGTTTAGGGTTTGAGTTCTCCTTTCTGAGTATTGCGGAGTATAAAGGGTTTAGGGTTTAGGGTTTAGGGTTCTCCGTTTTGAATATTACGGAGTATAAAGGGTTTAGGGTTTAGGCTGTATGTACTTTCAGAGGTTGCAGAACGGTCTAGAGTAGCCTCAGATGCCACTCCATGGATGCTGACGGCTTGGCATGTCGATGTGGGCGCTAAGGTCCTATGAATTTCTGTGCGGGCGGTCTGCATGTTCTATCCATCGTTGCAAAAATGCCTGCCCCTCAAATCCCACCTACCACACGAGCAGTGTCTTGATACCCTAAACCCTAAACCCTAAACCCTAAACCCTAAACCCTAAACCCCACAAAGGCATCTACACGATCACCCTCCATCTCTTTGGAACGAATCGCACAGAGATCTCCGAAAGCCAACCCTGGGATGCTCAGGCTTCTGTCAAACTACCAACACCTACTCAGTAGGCTGCCCATTGGCTCTAATGGAGTTATATAATTTCTTTCGATTTTGGGTTTAGGGTCTTATATATGTGGTGCTTACAGTTGATGCATGCGACCCTAAACGATCGGGGGTAGCCCTCAACCGTCCTCAAAAACTAGACCTGCACAAAGCTCCAAGAGTACTTTACATGAAAATGGCAGTTGTTCGAAATACCTGTCTCCCTCATGAAGTAGGCTCTCTTTTCAGTAATGTTCTTCTGACATTCTGAAAGGACTCATAAAACATCCCTCCATGCGCATTCAACCGCTTTAAAACCCCTGAAAGATCATGAAGAAACTTCCTGAACTCTTGAAAAGAACCACACCAAGCTCTATAAACCTTCTGCCAAGCCCTGTGAAGCCAGTTGAACTTTTCCAAACAAGCTGTGCGTGTCGGGAGAAGCTTGGGCGCCCTGCAGCCAAACCAACCTGATCCACGCGAGTGCACAACAGGAGCGGGCCCTGTCCCAACCTCAACTCCAGATAACCTACTACCTGTTTGAGGACTTTTACAAGAAAAATATATATTAAGAAATCCTTAAAGGGTAGGTTTCTTAGGGCCCAGTCCTTATGGACCAGACCACTTTTAAAGGGGCTCATATCTCATATACCGTTTAATCTTGGTACCCATACTGCTTTACGTGACATTTGATGACTGATAAGGTCCTTCTGGACCAAACGAAGCCTAAACGGGCTTATGATTCATATCCCATGTAGGAGGTTTAGTATCTACTGCAAGGTATAGTAGGGTAGCTAGGATAAAATGCTAAACCCTGAGCCCTAAACCATTCACTCGGGGAGCTTGGCCCATCAAAGGTCTCGGGGTTTGTGGCAGCCAGAAAGTCAAGTCGACATCCTCAAAACCCCAGAACCTGGACAGCGAGTGTGTAGGGTTTAGGGTTTAGGGTTTGCTTTTAACTATGTTGGAGCTATACAGAAACACGGTCATCCCCCAAGCACTGAATCTATGGACCTTTTCCCGAAACCTTCTGAGGATCTTGTATCATAGCACACAGCACCTTTGTACAGCCCCCGGCTCATGCATCGGCTGTGCCCGGAAACTGCGGGGCAGAACAAGCAGGGATTGAGGGTCTAGGGACCTTTCGACCCGTCCAACGTGGAGCCTAAACTTGCCTAAACTCAAGCACAAAGGCTACGGGCGAGCAAAACCATGACTTTTTCGGCCAGATGCTGGAGGAGCTCTTTTGGCTTTGGCAACATGACTGCCGCACAGCGGATGGCTTAGGGATTAGGGTCTGCGGTTATTGCTTTGATTGCTTCCCAGTGAGGCGATTGCAGGGGCACTACCCTACACCCTATACCAGAATACCAGAAGTTGTAGTCAACCTTGAAGATGTGTTTATGGGTTTAGGGTTTAGGGTTTAGGGATGACCACCGGTTTGCACCGAAAGCTAGCATCTAGTCACGGAGGAGCTCGGTACCACAGGCGCCGTCGTCCAGCTCCCTTCGGGGATACTCTGCAATGACAAGCTGGAGCCCAATCAGTGCCACAGCACCGACGGCCACCATCATGATCGAATCGTAAGCTGAAGGGACCACCTTGGCAGGATACACCCTACTATAAGGCCGTGAACAGTTAAATCAATATTGATATCCCCGGATAGGTCCCTATACACTTACAGCATCATGTGTACCCATATCCTGCTCTCATCATCTTAAGGCCCCTACTTACCTTAGAAACCTTCACCATCAACATCCGGATCCACACTCCTGAACGTCTGCTCCTTTCTTCCCTACCTGGGTTCGCATGGGGACCTGACTTGATAATCTTAAAAAAGGCCTCGGGGATATTATAACGTCGGTCTATAAGAGGGATGTCGGCATGTACTGCTACAGGAATATAAAGCTTCTGAAACAAATGCTCAGTTTTCGGCTTCAGGTATGAGGGGACCCGCTGGGAAATGACATGATACTGTTTATGATATAAATCCTGGGTCCTCCTTCGACAGTCTCGAGAAATCACCCTCTGCCGAGCCCCGACAAGCATCCGCAAGAGATCTCACTCTCAATCCATATACATCTCGTACAGTACTGTGGCCCTTATGGTGTGCCTTGAAGTTACTGTACTCCTCTCTAGCCCCTCTAGATCCCTGACAAAAAGAGCCTAAACCCTAAACCCTAAACCCCACCGACTGGCCCAAGGCACCGGATAGACAGCAAGCAGAACCATACCAAAGAAGTTGATCAACCAGGAGAAGGCTGCTCCTGTCACCCCCCCCCCCCTTTGGTTTTTTTTAAAGTGCAATGCGCCCCTTTTCGTGTCACAAGGGGTTTAGGGTTTAGGGTTTCAGGCTAACGGCTAGGTTTAGGGTTTAGGGTCTAGGGGGCTAACTAAGCCAAAACCCTAAACCCTAAACCCTAAACCTCCCTGGGAGTTTCGAATTTCGGGCTCAAGGTCTGGGCTTGGGGCTTACGCGTTAGAGTCTGAGGATTCAGGGCTGAGGGTTTAGGGCTTTCGGGTTTTAGGTTTTAAGGTTTTAGGGTGTTAGGGTTTAGGGTTTTAGGGTTTAGGGTTTAGGGCTTAGGGTTGAGGGTTTAGGGTTTAGGGTTCCGGGCTTCGGGTTACAAGGACCATAAGGGGATACCACGACTCATGTTCACCACCTCCATACGATGGTCCTGTCACTCCCTCCGACATCGGATAAGTCAGCTCGGCGCTAAGCTCGTAGACGATTGGTGCCATGGCACCTTCAGCGATGCTAGCCAGCACCACGCATGCCATCAGCATCCTGGGATGCCCGAAAAGGAACCCTTAAAAGAACCCTTAAAGGAACCCTTATAAGCAAGATTGCCATACTGTCAAAAAAGGAGACGTAATGGTATGCAATGGTCATATGTCAACTTACATGTGTTCTCACACACATACACATGCGAACTATGTTATGAAGGTTCCCATACATCCGACACTGCCGGACGCTTCAGCCACCACCTTCAGACAAGCGGCCCAGTCGAACCCTTCATTAGAGGCAGCGGGCTATCCGGAAGAAGCACTGCAAAGAGCGCATAGGCCACCAGCTGTAAGCACAAGGTGATCCCCAGGACTGACTTCAGGCGATGCTGCAAGTGCAACATTTCCTTGGCTGACACTGAACCCCTCCTAAAAGTTAGACTTTTAGGCTCCTTATTGTGGTTCATATAGAAACCCCCAAAAAGTTAAAATCCTAAGAGCCAACCAACAGAACGCCGAGTTTCAATGAGCTGCGGGGCAGTAAAGTTTCCAATCACGGAAGCCAGGGAGGTGATCACGGCAAACCACTTGAGCACGGTTTCCGGCAACACTCCTGGCAAAGCAAGCAAAGCCCTAAGTGTCCATGTACCCAAATAGAACCTTCAGGGTCCTTTTTCGGGTTTCTAATAAAGGTCTGTATAAGGGTGCTATAAGGGTTCCAGAGGGTTTAGGACGTCAAGGTCCACGTACCCGAATCGTATATATACTTTGGCCTTAAAGTAGTTCCTATACAAGAACTTTCGGGGGCCAATGTATACACTGCATGAGTACATGGACCCTTAGGGGAAGGTGATAAGGGCGAGCCTGAACCCTTAACCCTAAACCCGTCCCCGCTCGTGTTATTTACCATCTTCCACCTTGAAGCTGCGTGGGTAAAGCGGGCGACCAGCACTGGAAAACTCCGACGACAGCCCCTGCTGCCAGTAAGAGCACCCATGTGGAGATCATACGTCTTCGAGGCACTGCGCTTGCCTGCACGGAGGACTGGGATGTTAACACTGGTTTAGGGGTATGAATTGTCTCATATCACATGTTTATGCATCAGATACATATTATGTACTAGGGAAAGGGGGTATGCCTCGCATACGGTCGGGGGAACCAGGGGTTTGGGTTGAGGTGGTCTAGAGGTTGAAGGCTTACAGGTATACAGCAAGTAAGTTAGTACCCACAGGCTCCATTATGGGTTTTTTGTGGTAAAAGAGACCCCAAAACACAAAGGGCCAAAGGGTACTACTGGGGCACCTAGGTTTAAGGTCTATAGAGTCATTAGGGTCGTTCATATTTACGGTTTAGGGTTTAGGGCTTACGCCTTTTCACTCCACCCTAAGCTAAGCTGCAAACACTCTAAATGTTAAGCTTCGTCCCGTAGTGTTTCCGGTGCCTTGTTTGGGTACCGAGCAGTCCTGACACACTCAAGACCCCGCATGGAGAGTGCTCTGCAAACTCCAACGTCTGGAAATACACAACTATCCTCCTAACATCAAGTTAGAATCCTTCTATACCCCGAATAAAAGACGATACTGAAGAAGTCAGAAAGTTATTGGAGCATCGTTCTCCTCATGTCCGGCAATGTGAGGGGAATCTCAACCCTACTAACAATTATCCCATGTTCCAACATTCTGGGGTTCACTTTTACTGTACCGTGGAGCCCTCTTCTAATTCGTAAGGGCCCCTGTTGTTTGCCTGCGGCTCGCCGGATCGACGGATCTCCTCGACGGGCAGTTGAGATGCTCTGAAGCCCTTGTATCAGTTTCATAGGAGTTTGTTGCATTAAAGCTGGCCAAACACTAGGCAGCCGGAAATCGTGAGACTTCCCAACCGCTCCGGCCAGAACTGCCTGACGGGTTGTGACTTTTCATATGTAACGGTCTGCTGGGAATTTGAGAACTTCATTACTGGCATTGGGGTTTGTCTCGGTATGGGCCTTATGTTTTAGGGGTTTATATAAAGCTTGTAGGTTAAGGCTTGAAGTTTTACGGCTTACGTGGGAGTTGTGGATGCGCCAAAGGTGTTCCGGGTCTAGGGGGCTTCTTGTGACCGATCCGCTTATGGTTCGAAGTTCAGGCTGTCAGGCTTAGTGTTGAGGGTTGACTCTCGCTCTCGCTGGCTCTCTCTCTCTCTCTCGCTCTCTTTCTCGATCTGTCTGCCTGTCTGTATATGTATGTTCTGTAGGTGCCCGTATCAGCCCCCATCAGTGCCATGCCAGAGCAGCCACACTCCCTGTCCGGTCATGGCATGGCCCATTCCAGCAAAGACAACACCCATAGTAGGGTTTGGGTTGAGGCTGGGGCCACGAAAAAACACGGCAAACATGTATGGCATCGGCACCCTGAACCCCCAAACCCCGAACCCCAAACCCTGATTATCCACGGCGAGACCTGATATTCCAAGCTGAAAAGCCCTGGCTCCTAAACCGCAAGGAACCCCAGTGATCCCAATACCCCTTAACCAAGGAGCATCCCATAAATTGTAGGGGCCTTAATATTGTGTTATGCTTCAAGAAACCCTAAACCCTTAATTAAGGAGCATACCATAAATTGTAGGGGCCTTAATCTTGTGTTATGGTTCAAGATATATATAACCCTAAACCCTAAACCCTAAACCCTAAACCCTAAACCCTAAACCTATATATTCTTTAATCAGCGCGTGTTGGGATCTTTGGGCCTGCAACCCGGAACCCGATAAACTCCTCAACTCGGCCTGCAGCCCCCAAAAGGCTATTTTTTTTACTACCCCCCTTTTCAGGGTTCCTTATATGAGAGCATGCATTCTTCTTGGCTGACTTCTGAACCCCTTCAAAAAGCCAAACTTTTAGTCTCCTTATTACCTATATAGTCTCCGTTGTAGTTCCTTTTTAGGGATACCTTATACATTCCTTAATATATAATTGGTTAAACCAAAAAAAGGAACTACAAGGAGACTATAGGCATGGTTCATATACAAAAACCCAGAAAGTTGAAGTCCAAAGAGCCAAGCAGAAGAACACCAAGTCTTGAGGAAAAACGCTAAACCCCAGTCAGCTTCTTGGTGCTGCAGGTAAATCCTGAACCTTCACTTCATGCGCTCGACCTGGAGCCCTTGAAATTCCTGCCCTAAACCCGTAAATCCCAAGCTTGAAATCCTAAACCCCTAGACCCTAAACCCTAAACTCTAAAACCCTAAAACCTAAACCCTAAACAACTAGACCCTAAACCCTAAAACCCTAAACCCCTCGACCCTTATAAACCCTAAAACCTAAAACCTAAACCCTCACCAAAAAACCCTAATATGGGATAAAAAAGGACCCTACGAAAAAGTAGGTTGTGGGTTCTTAAGCTAGACCCTGAACCTGTCTCCTGACTCCGAGAAGGTGGCACCGAAGGTTTTCGAGGTAAGCACGCCCAAACAGCGAGCACGGCAACACTCATGGCTGCCTCCACCTTAAGGGCTGGAGAGTGCAGGATTAGGGGTTTAGGGGTTTAGGGTTAAAGGGTTTAGGGTTTGGGGGTTTAGGGTTGGGGTCCAGGGATTTCCTACTCTTCGGGTCCCTGATTTTGCTGAAACTCACACCTGTTGGGTTTAGGGTTGAGGGATCCAGGGTGTGGGTTTAGGGTTTAGGAACAGAGTTTGAGCTACCACGAGTTTTCTTGGCCGAGTTCAGGTGTCGGTAGATTTCCTGCATAACCCCAATGGTCAATGCACCTAAATAGTACCCGATCTAGCATATACCTTCTTGCTACATGTTAGCTTTGCGGCCCATGTATGTACTACATGGGTAGAGAGGGCTTTGATGATCAGAAGAGGGTTTAAGGTTACAGACAGAGACAACCTTATTGGGACCAGAGGCGAAAGATACAACGACATATGCCGAGCCCTATATTTCTTGGACCCTTTGGGTAACGAGCTTCACCTCCAGGAGCAGCACCAGGTCTTTGCAGGAATGGACACAGAGGCCGAGCAAGAATCCCAGAGTTGGTCCTGCCATTTGAATCCTTAGTTCTTGGGTTCATAAGCCCCCAAACAAGTACACGTTTTCAAGTTCTGTAAGGGGTGGTTATATCCCCCAAAGTGTAACGTGTACCCATTCAGCTACTAAGAGGCGCGAAGACGGCAGATGTCGCGAAGCCACGCTGGTGTGGCGGAAACCTGATGTGAAGGTTTACAAAGCTTTGCAGAAGCCATGTGAGTCCCTCAACCCTAAACCCGAACCCCAAAACCTTGAAACCCTAAACCCTCAGCCCTGAAACCTAAACCCTCAATCCTAAACCTTACCTAAACTACGGCAAACCTCAAACACCAAGCTCAAAAAGATGAAAGTAGCATCTAAAAGGGGGTGGGTTTAGGGTCAGGGCCTAGGCTTTAGGTTTGGAGTTTAGGGTTCAGGGGTTTCAGTTTTGAGGCTTAGGGTTTTACGTTTAGGGTAGGTGTCACAAGTTTAGGTAGCTTATGTTTACAGGGTCTAGGTTTTTAGGGTTTAGTGTCCTAAACTACCGTAAACCTCAAACCCCAAGCTCAAAAAGATGAAAGTAGCATCCAAAAGGGGGTGGGTTTAGGGTTTAGGTTTTAAAGATCAGGGTTTTAAGTTTTGAGGCGTAAGGTTTTGGGTTTAGGGTATAGGTGTCAAAAGCTTATTATGGTTTTTGTTTACAGGGTCTTGTGGCGGTATATTATGACCAGTGCCTGCAAGCATAATAAGAAAACTAACGGGATAACATCTGCATCTACTCAGAATCTACTCCGACCCCCATGGTATGTGCTTTGGGCCCCTAATAAAGAACATCTTGGGCACCACATAGCAGCCAGTGCCGAAGGCGTCACGCAGTTTGCAGGCCCAGCAGCTCCGTTCAAGGCCTCACGGTTTACGGTTTAAGGTGTCTTCTGGGGTTTCAGAGCCCCTGGATTTAAGGGGCTACTGGCTCCACGGGTTAAGCCGGAAACCCTTCAAACTTAAAAATATGAAGCGCCAAACAATGAAAACCATAAACTCAGACCCCTGAATCAGAATTGCTAAACACAATGCCCACCAGATCCCCCCCAAACCTAAAACCCAAACCCATATAGATATTTAAGCCTATAAACCCTGAACCAAAGACCGCCGAAGCCTGACCGACGTGGATGCAGCCGTGGACGATCCTTCGGCTGTGCTTCGGCGACCGTGAGGGAACAACAACACAGAAACAGGTAACACACATAGATGCAATAGACATGAACCTAAGTCCAAACTACTCAGACCGAACCGTAAACCCCAAACCTCCTTCGACCCAAAACCAACATATTTCAAATAACTCCGATTCGAGAAAAGCTGAAACATGATTCCCAAGGAACCCCTATGTATAAAGCCATAGACAAAGCGGCGGAGATGTCGGATGAAAGCCAAGAAGTGTTGGCAGAAGGCGCAGGACGAGCCCTCCATGACAAGGGAAGATGTCAGGATGGGGTTTAGGAGACATACCTGGACATACCTGAAGCCCCAAAACAAGCATTCTTTAAAGAATTGTAGAAGGGAAATTAGGTTTTCTAGGGTCCGGGTAGGGTTTAAGAGTTGAGAGCTTCTGGGCTTGAGGTTGAAAGCTTCGGGTTTGGGGTTTTACTAAAGATCTGACCTCTCCGGCCAGCCCAGCCAAGCCCAAATTCGAAATTATTTTTCTTTCAGACAACTGCGGCCCAGTACCAGCCCGCCGCCCAGGCAGCCCAAGCCCCAGCACAGCCAAAACCAAACTTCAAAAGCAAAAAGCAAAACCCGCCCAAAACGTTCGTTCAAAACGTTTCGATCAAAACTTTCGCTCAAACCCCCGGACCCAAACCCAATGCAATTTCTATGAACCCTCAAGTCCAGGATAAATAGAAACTGTTTCTTCTATCGCGCATAGCCATAGAGATACCTGTATCATTGCTTTGCTTTCAATGCTTGACGGACAGAATACAAGCACTGAAATGACAGCTCTAGAAACAAATGTGTTTCCGCGGAGACATGCAACAATGGAAATTAAAAATCAATCTTGTTTTCGCGGGTGGAATCAATGTTTCCAGATATGTGTTTCCGGACCCGCATTTGTGTTTCCGGGAACGGACTGTGCTTCCGGAACCGGACTGTGCTTAGGGCTTTTTGTTTCCGGGATTGTGCCACCGGGAGTGTGTTTCCGGCATCAGTTTCCAGACTGGGATTGTGTTTCCGGGAATCAGTTCCGGTATTGTGTTTCCGGCTTTGGATTGTTTTCCGGGAACAATTGTGTTTCCGAGTTCAATCGCATTGGTGCTTCCTGAATTGCAGAGTGAACAAAGAGGCGCCTAGGAAAATGGGAGGGGTCCCTCCCATGGAAACAGCCGGAACAGGTCCGCCCCCAAGAAGCCAAGACTTGTGGCTGCGGCGGAATTTCGTTGTTCTTGACAAGTCTGGGCTTTCCCTAAATCCTCCAAAAATACAACAATAAGGGATGTGCTAGCATATCTTGCGGATTCCGGAAACACCAAAATTGCAAATGTTCGTGAATGTTGACTCATTTGGGCTTTCCTAAAGCCTCCAACCTTGTCAAAATAAGGTCTTGTTTTGCTATCGGCTATTTAGGGCAGATTCCGGAAACACCAAAATTACAAATTTTCGTGATGTTGGACCGTTTCTGGCTTCCCCAAAAACTTCCAAAATTGCCACAACAAAAGCCCTTTCGTGTATTTTGCGAATTCCGGAAAAGCAAAGACTCCAAATTTTCGTTGTGTCTGATCATTTTGGGCCTCCCCAAAAGCCTCCCAAGCTGCCGACATGAGGCATTGTTGGCCTGTTCTTCCAGAATTGGGGAGCGCCAAGATTGCGATGCTTGACCATGTTGGGCTTTCCCAAAACCCTCCCAAAATGCCAAACATGAGGGCTGATGTTGAATATTTTGCGGATTCCGGAAACGCCAAAATTGTCGTGATTGTTGACCATTCTGGGCTTTTCCAAAAGCCTCCAAATATGTCAACATAAGGGCTTTTTGGCTTATTTGCGGATTCCTGCGAATTTTGGTGGGCTTTTCCCAAAAGCCTCCAACATTGCCAAATCCGACAACACCAAAATTGCAAATTTTCGTGATGTTGGATCGTTTTGGAGTTTTCCAACAGGTTTCTTAGGCTCCAGAAAAGCCCTGCAGTCGGTTGAAGTAGGAGCCTGATTCGGAAACTGACTCTATAACGTACCCCAAGGGTCCATGTACGCAAATAGTATAAACTTTGGCCTGGAGAGTAGTCCCTATTTAGGTACTTCGGGGCCAATGTGTATACTATATGAGCACATGGACCCTGAGGGCTAGAAGAGCCCTGATAAAGATTCAGGGTTTCTTAAGCAGGTTCCTAAATTGTATGAAACCCAGAAAACGTCCCTTTCGTAGGTTCCTTATTAAATTAAGTTTTCTTTGTGTAGCTGTATAGCTCCTTTGAAAGGTAGGTTCTTTGGGGTTTGCGGTTTAGGGTTCTCGGGTTTAGGCTTTGGGCTCTAAAGTTTGCATGGTGGGCTCATGGTCTTCGGCTTGGGATCGTCCTTCGGTTCAGGGTTCCTGGTTTCGGGTTTAGGGTTTGGTGGTTCAGGGTTTAGTGTTTGGGGGTTGAAGGTTGAGGGTGTGGGGGTTTGGGGTTTAGGATTGAGGGTTCGGGGGTTTAGGGTGTAGCGCACCATCTGTCAAGCAAAACACTCTGCCAGCCCTAAACTTTTGATGCTCCACACATATCGCCCGAACCCCCAAAAACCAACACCGTAAACCTCTTGTGCGAAGCCCTCAGCGTCCATGTACCTTTTAGTGCATAGAAATTAAGGCTATGAAAGGGGTTACCAGAGCGGTACCAAAGTAGGGTCTTTCGTGCCAGCCTGCTGCTGTCAGGGCGCCCCCACAGAAGACCACGGCCCAGATGCTGTCCGGATGCCGGGCGATCCTTGGCGTACCAAAGGGGTTTAGAGTTTAGGGTTTACCTTAATAACCCAAAACCTACTTTTTTGCAGGGTCCCTATAAATCCCATATTAGGGTTTATAATAAGAACCTACGAAAAAGTGGGTTTGGGGTTCTTAAGGTAGGGCTTGTCGGAAAAAGGTGGTACAGTGAGCCGGGAAATGGAACTGGAACCACTAAGGGACCGGTTATCTTGCAAGATAACCGGCAGAAGTTGGTGGTTCCAGATTGCCGGCGCAATGTAATGGTATTCCTCATGCCTTACTATGCTTTCTACTCCAAGATACCCCCCAAACCCTAATCTAATCATTAATGCCCATCTCATAGAACCCTTGAGTTATCCTTTTAACGGAACTCCCTAAACCCTAAACCCCCTAAACCCTAAACCCTAAACCCTAAACCCTAAACCCTTATATTTTCCGGGTCTGAGTGAAGCTCTTCACCGGGGGAGCTTTACGCTTCGAATCCTCGTCCTCTGGCGGCTTTTCCCTTGAAGGGGGCCAGGGGGCATTCGGATTTGGGTTTAGGGCTTTAGGGGTTTGGGGCTTTAGGGTTTAGGATTTTCCTTGTAGGGGGCATTCGGATTTGGGTTTAAAGGGCTTTAGGGATTTGGGGGTTTAGGGTTTAGGGGCGGAGGGCATGCGGATTTGTGTTATTCGGGCTCTAGGGATTTAAGGTTTTAGGATTTATAAGGCTTTAAGGGTTTGTGGTTTAGGGCTTAAGGTCGTCGTGAAGGGCTGCGCCACATACGCGACAAGGCACAAAGGATCCAAGTGA